GGAAAGAGGCATTCGCATTCTCAACTACCTCGACGACTGGCTCATACTGGCCCAATCTCGAGCGTGGCTGTACGAACACAGGGACGTGGTACTCAGCCGGTTGGGGCTTCGGGTCAACTGGGAAAAGAGCAAACTCTCCCCGGTGCAGAGGATCTCTAGGATCTCTATGGAGTTGGACTCGGTCAGTCTGACAGCGCGCCTCTCAGTAGAGCGCGCCCAGTCAATGCTGCGCTGCCTGGAGTCCTTCCAGCACAGGAGAGCGTTTCCACTGAAACAGTTTCAGAGGCTCCTGGGGCATATGGCATCCGCAGCCGCTGTCACGCCGCTCGGGTTGCTTCATATGAGACCGCTTCAGCGTTGGCTTCACGACCGGGTCCCGAGATGGGCATGGCGACACGGCACTTACCGGGTTCCTGTTACCCCGTTCTGCCGTCAGACCTTCAGCCCGTGGACTTACCGGGTCCCAGTCACCCCGTCTTGCCGCCAGACTTTCGGCCTGTGGTCGGACCTTGCTTTCCTTCAGGCAGGGGTTCCCCTAGTGCAAGTGCCCAGGCATGTTGTTGTCTCAACAGATGCCTCTGCCATAGGCTGGGGTGCCATGTGCAATGGGCATGCAGCGTCGGTCACCTGGACAGGGCCTCGTCTGCAGTGACATATCAATTGCCTCGAGTTGCTAGCTGTATGGCTTGCTCTGCGCCGCTTCAAAACGCTGCTACACAACAAGCATGTACTGGTCCAGACGGACAACACTGCGACTGTTGCGTACATCAACCACCAGGGCGGTCTACGCTCCCGTCGCATGTCGCAACTCGCCCGCCATCTCCTCCTTTGGAGTCAGAAGCATCTGAGGTCGCTTCGCGCCATTCACATCCCAGGCGAGCTCAATTGTGCAGCCGACAGGCTCTCATGTCAGCCCGCCCTTCCGGCAGAATGGCGACTCCACCCCGAGACAGTCCAGCTTATCTGGAGACGCTTCGGAGATGCTCAGGTAGACCTGTTTGCCTCCCCGGACACGTCCCACTGCCAGCTGTTTTACTCCCTGTCCGAGGGGACCCTCGGCACAGACGCACTGGCACACAGCTGGCCTCGGGGCCTACGCAAGTATGCGTTTCCCCCAGTGAGCCTTCTCGCACAGACTCTGTGCAAGGTCAGGGAGGATGAGAAGCAGGTCCTCTTAGTAGCGCCGTACTGGCCCAGTCGGTCTTGGCTCCCAGAACTTATGCTCCTCGCGACAGCCCCTCCTTGGCTTATTCTTCTGAGAAAGGATCTCCTTTCTCAGAGAGGGGGCACCCTCTGGCACCCGAGCCCGGACCTGTGGAATCTCCACGTGTGGTCTCTGGACGGGACGCAGAGGTTCTAGGTGATCTGCCCCCAGCGGTAGTTAACACCATCACTTCAGCTAGAGCACACTCTACGAGGCACGCCTACGTGCTGAAGTGGAACCTGTTCGTCGATTGGTGTTCTTCCCAGCGGGAAGACCCCCGTAGATGCCCGATCGTGGTTGTGCTCTCCTTTCTGCAAGAAGGGCTGGAGCAAAGCCTGTCTCCCTCCACCCTCAAAGTGTATGTTGCCGCACATCACGATGCAGTAGGCGGCAAGTCTGTTGGGAAACACGACTTGATCATCAGGTTCCTTAGGGGTGCAAGGAGGCTGAATCCTCTGCGCCCCCACCTGGTACCCTCTTGGGATCACCCATCGGTCCTGATGGCCTTGAAGGAGGAGCCCTTCGAACCTCTGCAGTCAGTAGAGCTTAAGTTTCTGTTGCTAAAAACAGTGCTCCTCATTGCATTGGCTTCAGTCAAGAGGGTCGGGGACCTGCAGGCATTTTCGGTTGACGATTCGTGCCTTGAATTCGGGCCGGTCGACTCTCACGTTGTCCTGAGACCCTGGCCTGGATATGTGCCCAAAGTTCCCACCACGCCTTTCAGGGATCAGGTGGTGAACTTGCATGCGCTGCCCCGGGAGGAGGCAGACCCAGCCATTGCTCTGCTCTCTCCCGTTCGCGCTTTGCGCATTTACATGGACCGTACGCACAGCTTCAGGACCTCAGACCAGCTTTTTGTCTGCTTCGCAGGACAGCAGAAGGGAAAGGCTGTCTCCAAACAAAGACTTGCCCACTGGATAGTGGAGGCTATAGTCTTAGCATACCAGGCCCAATGTTTACCATGCCCCCTCGGAGTGAGAGCTCACTCTACGAGAGGAGTGGCATCTTCTTGGAGACATTACGATCCGTCGCCACAGTTGCTGTACCACCACTGTATGGCCGAAGCCCACCGCCTCGGCTCCTCAGTGAAAAACTGAATGTGCATTTGCTCGCGCACTCCTTATATACCCACGCTGCGGGGCGGGGTGCGTGACGCAAAGATCGCACGCCAACACTTATTGGCTTGTTTTGTTAACACTCAAAGGTGATTGGGCTCTCAGGCGAGATCCCAATTCGTCAGTCACTGCTGACGTAACGGGAACGAGGGTTACATACATAACTGAGATGATTTTTAACTTAAAAGAAAACTCTCTTAACTGTTTAAAACAATGGATAAATTTTAAGTTGCAGCAAAGTGAAAATCACAATTGACAGCGCTACTCTTCAGCACAATGGTAACCACTGTAAAAAAAAAAAAGTTAAAAAAAATAAATAAAATGTCACATGACTGGCAGCAACAAAACATTAAACACTAGCAGATCTCTCTCTCACACACTTATTACAATCCAGTCTGACTTTATTTCTTTCATACTAAACTTCTTATTGAGAATTAACTGAGGTTTAGATGTTGATGTTTTATTGAAAATAATCAAGTTTGAAGTTTGAAGATAAGTGTTTGCTTTAGTTGGGCTCTTGATCCTTGAATATTTAACATCAGTTTTTCTCTGACTGCTGCAACTGTGTTTCTGAAGCACATTTGTTATCGCAACAGTTATGAGAGAAACTCTGATCAAATTATCTTGATTACTTATTGATAATGACCCAATCATCATGTAAAGTGAAAAAGTGAAAGGGACATGACATGTGGCCAAGTATGGTGACCCATACTTGGAATTAGTGCTCTGCATTTAACCCATCCAAAGTGCACACACACAGCAGTGAACACACACACCGTGAACACACACCCGGAGCAGTGGGCAGCCATTTGTGCTGCGGCACCCGGGGAGCAGTTGGGGGTTCGGTGCCTTGCTCAAGAGCACCTCAGTCGTGGTATTGAAGATGGGAGAGAGCGCTGTACAATCCCTGCCGGTACGAGACTCGAACCCACAACTTTTTGGGTTATAAGTCCGACTCTCTGACCATTAGATCACGACTTCCCCATGCTGATTAGTGTAGTGGTCAGGTTAACAGATCATATCAGAAGTCTGATGTCTGTGAATGTTAGCTGTGTCTTTTTGACTCACAGAAAGATCAAGAATCAGCGCATGAATCTCAACAATGGTGACAATCAATGCAAACCTTTTTTGTGACTTTAGTAGCTTTTTTTGTGATGTTCAGAGTTTATCTGTTTATCTGAATATTTTGTTGACTGTAACCATTGTTGAGGTTCATACGCAGATTCATGATGTCTGTGAGTATACGTAGTTCAGTCCCAATAATTTCTGCGTGATGATTTTAAAAAAAATTCAAAATTTCAAAACAGAACAGTATTTCAAAATGTGAAACTAATAAATCTAAATAATACAGTCCAGATGAGAATTGATTACTACTTGATGATAAAATCCTCGTCTCACTAGATTTTCTCCCAGTTACAGTAAGCAGAGAAAAACTAAAGTTAAAAAGTCAAGGATCAAGACCCCAACTAAAGCAAACACTTATTTCACACTTTATAATTGTCAATAAAACATCAACATCTAAACTTCTGTTAATTCTTAGTAAGAAGTTTTGTATGAAAGAAATAAAGTCAGACTGGTTTGTAATAAGTGAAGTTGCTGAGATCTAGCGAGATCTGTTAGTGTTTAACCCCTTTGCTGTCACCCCCCATTTTCGGCATGGAGATACAAATGACATACCCAAAATAAAAAGGTTGCTGCTCATGAGTCTTTCTGACTAGATACATAATCAACATATGTTCACAAAGCTGACACTTCAAAGATTACTGTTCAAGAATCAGAATTACTCTGTTAGACTGTTATGATAATAGATATATTACCTCAAACATAAAAACAAAAATAAAAATATTAAAAAATATTTTTTAATTGTATAAAAAAATATGTTGCTGTGGTAAATGCTTTCAGAAACACAATGAAGCTAAAGCCACAAGTCTACTAATGCTTAATTTCACATTTCAGGACATAATCTCGAAAACTGTGAATTTTATGAAACATTTTGTGAGACCATGTCATGTGTGTTTTTAAGAAGGCTAATAAAAGGCTAATAAAATTGATTTATGGCCCTCTGTAAGCTCTCCTGCATGCGGTCATCTCATGTCTGGCCCGGCAAACTGCTCCATTCATGATGCTATTGTTCTCCCTCTATGAACCTTTTACACCTCCGCCAGGTATGATACATTATCCTCATTATTACTTTATCATTATTCTTTTGTTTTATTCAGCCATCATTAGCCTTTATTCTGGCATTACAAGGTTTACCAAGCCACATCACTTCAATCCCAGTATACATTTATCCAACTATTATCAAAAATATTTCTAAAAAAAATACAACAAAACATTTTCTTACGACCTTATGTCAATTATTATGACATACTACATCATGAAGAAGAACTGCACCTGTTCTGCAGCTGCATTAGAGCTAACATTAGCATCAAGCTACATAAGACAATTTATGAGATTATTAGTACACTTTTACTCAAAACTCACTTTAAACCACCATCAAGTGTTTGTAATTACTTCCTTTTGCAGGTGTAACCCATGTTAAATGTGGTGCCTAAAGAAAATAAATAATATAATTGTATATTCTAATAGTTACACTTTTAATTAAAAAAGTTAAACGATCTATTAATATGCATTGTGAATTATGTATAAATAAAAATAATTAGTATTATAATTGAGTGCAGAACATGTGATGTATTACACGTACACGAGTTGTGTATGATGTAAGCAGATGACTCACGGAAGTGCAAGAGATGCGCTGAACACGAGATGAGAGCGATACAGAAGGGATTAAAAAGGTTTATATTGTAATAATTCATTTAATATGGTTATACGCAACTTTATAATACTTTATGGTTGATGGTGATAAATCGTTTTAGAATGATGATTGCTGATTTAAGCGTGGATGCTAGCCGATTGTGAAGCTCCTTTGAATCTGAAGCGGGTGTTTATCAAACTGTGAAACTCGGGATTTGGTGAGTTTATATGTATTTTATTTTCTTTTGAAAGATGTATTTTGTTACTATGCATATCATTATGCATGTTGTAAAGATTGTTTGCATATTTTCTGATTGTTAATATGATTTATTTTGGAATGTTGAGTGATATATTCTGCTTAGCAATTAATGAAAATTAATTTCCATATTCTCAATATGCCTGTAAGATAACACGTTCATTATGAACGTGGATATGGATGTTTAAACACTCAGTTTAAAGAGAAAAATGATATAGAGACAATTTTGAATGTTAATGACACTGTTTTGGTAAAACAGGTCAGGTTTATTGGTTGAGTTGAGAACCTCTCTCATGGATTTGAGATGGCGGGCCACCAAGGGAAAAATTGAATGCCGATTTCTGAACCTGGGAAAAAGACACTTTTGCTGCATCACAAGAATTCCTTAAATTCTTCAACTTTCTTCAATTAGGAGGACATTCTCTTTTGTTCGGGTACTTCTTTGAACTGGTAGGATTTAACTGATTTTGCACTCACCCACTGGATTTCTTACAGGACTTTCTGGATGATATTCAAAGACAATTCAGACAAAGAGTTCTAACGAGTATTGTTTATTGAATGATATTGAATGTGAGTCGGATGTAAATTTTGGATTTATTTTTATTTGAACATTTTAGTTGTGTCAAGAAGTTCCAATTTGGTTGAATTTTGGGTATATAACATTGTATCTTGTTTAAGGGTTTATTTGGTTTGTCTAAACGGTATAGAAAGTAATAACGCTAAAAGCAAAACAGAATAAGAACCCTAAACTCAAAAATTAAAGAGACAGTGACAGCTTAAGAGTTGTTCAAGATACAGCTAAGTCAAATAAAAGTCTTACTAAAATCTACGTACACAGAGATAGCGTAGATAACTTACATTAAATTGTTTAAGAAAAACATGGAGAGAAAACAAATCTTAAAAGAATAAGAGAAGAAAACCAAAGACAACAGAGAATTCATATTTTGTGTATCATTTTATTTTTATTATTGTTGTTGTTGTTTCAAATTTTGTTTCATGCCATTCAGGTGATTGTTCAATTACAATACATATTTTTTGAGTATCTTCCTCACATGACTTTGTGATTCATTTACTGCCAGTATTAATTCTGTTCTCCACTAACCTAGAAACTGGTTCATTGCTCCAGTTTATGTTGAGGGCACTTGTTACACAATCACATGTGGAATTTGGTCATTTACTGTTGTTAAAATATGCTATTTATTGCCTTTTATATCGCTGCACAAATTAGCATTTCAGATGTACACATTCTTTATTGTTATGAAAATATCCAACAATCACATACAAACCATATACTATAATAATAGTGTGTTTATTATTTGGATATTTCGAGGGTACAGACGTTTCTCTGTGTTTGTTGTGGAGAGAACTATATGCGGAAGAGCAGGGAAATACATGACAGGATGAGACGGGGCTGGATATGATGCGCAGTTATGATTGACAGGCGATGGACGAATCAGGGTTTCCTTGAGTTAGTACATAGTTATCCTCAGATAGCTATGTTTCCGGGAAAGGGCAAGGTAAAACACAGCTAGCCTCAGATAGCTGTATTCAAGTAAGCCTGTCCTGCCATAATGGCTGAAATATAACCATCCTTCGATGGCTATATTAAAGGAGGTTCCCAATCAGTGTCAGTCCCACAGTAGGCTAGCGAGCACTGTATATTGAACAGAGGCTCACAAGAGGGAGATCCAGAGCATAGTAAATGATTCGCTAAAGAGCAAACACATAAACGGACACAGCTATCCTCAAATAGCATTTCCCTCAGATAAGGCTGAAGTTTGCAAAGACTTCAGCACTTACCTAAGAGAGCTTGTGCCAAGGGGAACCTAACTTAGTCATAGACGCCAGGCTAGAACATAGCTACCCTCAGACTGCTATATTCCAGAGCAAAGCAAGCTTGAGCTGGAGCATAACGATCCACAGACAGCTACACTCTGAGCAGAGACTGGTCACTTAAAGTCCTCAAGAGGGGGAACAATCTACTCAGCCCAAACATACTAAGCATGATTCAGAAGGACCACCCACTTAAAAATGGGGAGGCAGCCCACTCCTAAACCCATCCGGCTTAACACAGGAAGGAGCATTCCCCATAACCACTCTAGGTCACTGAAACATCCTGGGAGAGAAGCTCGCAAGATCTCTCCACAGAGCATTCAATATATCCACACCCAGCGAGGCATGTTATTACACACAATAACATGCATATTAGAGAGGCACAGCTGAGCTGAATATAGCTCCGCCCGTGATCTCGCGATCTCGCAAGCTCTGAGCTAAAAACGATTCAGTGCTCACACTTCATCGTTATGACAACACAAGCATTATCCACGGCATCAGGCAGCCCGATTTAAAGGGTATGTGGGCACCGCAGATCAAAGCAATCACCGCAAGCTGAGATAAAACTGTGCCGCGGCAATAGCCCGAGACACAAACACTTTGCCCCGCATCCCTCGGGAATAGGAACAAGTGCGAGCAGAGTGTTATCATTGCGACTCATCAGAATGAGTGCATTGACGCTGAGACAAAGACGCAAAAGTTATATGCCCTCAAGTGTTAGAATCCAAACACGGAGGCACACATTCCTTAAAACGCTGCTCGACTCACTAGGATGACGTTTCACACATGTTTGAACAAACAGATGGCTCAGAAGACAACAAAAGTTGGTGACATATTCAACAGGTGCCCTTTTGTACTTTTGGGTACCCACCTATGATGTCACGGGCCACGTGGACCAATAGGATTGGAGTTGTTTTACACATGCTTCAGACACCGGTCATGCTGGCAGCATTCCCCAAACTGTTCCTTAGAGGGGGATGCAGCTCGAAGTTCCCTTGAAGGGGAACCCTGGATGTGCAGTTACACCTGCTGAACATAAAACAAGATATTTATCTACAGTATTACACTCATTAAAGCACATGATAAACTCCCATCATACATATCGAGAGAGGTTTACCATGTAGCAATATGCATGGTCGCTCACCACGCAATACCACGGCCACTAGCATGCTGATGACTGAAGAAAAGACAAACAAATAAAGCCTCTCCTTATAAAAGACAAAATCCTTTTTGACACTGGGAAACTAACCTGAAAATGGCCTAACTGCTAAAACGGCAATAGGAGGATGCACCAACCCCTATACCTCGTTCATATTGACGTACTTCCTCAAAGGTCCAGTACAAAAGATGATGCATCCTGAGCAATCAAACCCTTCCCTTTTTATATTCTCAATGTCAACACTGATAGGTTCATAGGATTTAAAGCATATTAACCAATCATAAAGGAGTACAAACACTGATAGGTTCACAGGCTGGCATGACACCAGCCAATCATACCTGGACTATACCTTACCTGGCTACAGTAATAAGACAGAAGAAATATAGCTCAAAGTCTAAACTATGTACACTGAAAAATTACACAGCATCTAAGCCAGCACTTGTCGAGAATCAAGAAAAGCAGTCACCTCCAGAAAAACAAAATTCTTGCACACGTGGCTGACTTTGACACTAAGTGATTTTTTATTAACAAATTTCTGGAAAAGAACGTGCAGATAATCAACGCGGCCAATTAACTATCAGTAATCACATCATATATCCAACCACAATGAGAGAGAACCACTATAAATAATCATAGCAGCCTTACCTTCATTCTCTCTAGTCTTTCAGTATTCGGTTCGCTCCTTTTGCCATTTTACCACAGACCCAATTTCCCGTCCAACAAAGAGACCTATACTGGGTATTTTTCGGATCATCCGCCGCATTTTGCCGGCCCCAGGATCACTCCTTCTCTGCCAGACACACACCGCCGCCGAGCACCAGGCTTCATTGCGGCCGCCGCTCTGCTCGACCAGCCACACACTCCCCACAATGCCAAGGCTTAACCTCCCATCCACTGGCGAGACTTCCAACTTCTCCGGCATCCTCGTATCATTTAGCCGTGCCAACAATTCCTCCTGTCAGAAAGTGGACAGTATTTAAGCCTGAGGCAAACGCTGATTAATTCGACGCTTCGTTCTCGTGGAGGGTAAACAAAGCGGATCTGTAAGATCTATTCGTCACCCTAAAATTTGTCAACCTCACTCCTAAATCCACTCCAGCAGGGCGGCTAATATTTCGAGCATGCTCGCAAGGCCCCGAACTCGCCTCGCTCGACACCACCATCGTCCCGCACAAGACCCGGCTCACCTCGAGCGTCGGGTTGCAGCAGCAGGCCTCCAACGAGCCTGGGCCGCGTCCCAGTTCTCACCACAGCAAAGCCTCACTCGCTTCTCACCTTGGCTCAAACCTTTCCCCGCGGCTCTTCCAGCCGCAGCGCCGTATGCAGCCGGGTCTCCAGCTCTCGTAGCAGATGCTAGCGCGAGGCTGCCTCCGCTGGCGGCGCAGGCCATGTCGCAAACTAACTGATTTTTAGGTGAAGTCGGTAAAAGCAGATTTTCTGGCTAAAAGTTTGTTAAATGACGTTATGGCATAAACGGATGTCGATGCCATTTTTGTAATCATGACACAAACTGCGTAGAATACACACTGACATTACTCAAATTCAGTATTTTCACTAGCATTTTACTTATATTTTAAATTAAACATTATACTCAGACAGATAGATAAGATGAAAATAAGTTCAACAGTGTACCTAAATGGCTAACAATTATAGGTACAAACTAACAACTAAGGTGTATTATAAGAACAATTATTATTAACAAGTGCAACTAGCAACTGCCCCCTCTCTCCAAGTCTCTACCAGTTAATGCGTGCTCGTTCTCGCAGGAGCCCGTATCTTTACTTCCCACTGCTGCAGCAGTGCCCGCTTCCGCAGAAGCCACATTCTCTTTTCAGATAAAAGAACACCAATTGTGAGTACATTTTCTGTCGTCTTTTAAGACTGTATTATGAACAGTGTGCAAAGTAAATATCTTTAGCAAGAGTGTGAAAGTGAATAGCACAATTAACGTTACAGGTATAAACATAGATTTCTTGGTACAATATGCCACAATGTCACAAACCCTTCCACTTTCCCGCGGCCTACAGCTACAGCAGATGAAGCAAGCGTGGAGCTGCTTCCGCTTGCAACACAGGCCCTCACATCTCAGTCTCTTCCTCCTGTTACTTCTAACCTCTTTTCCTTTTCAGTGGTCTCCAGCTCCCGTAGCAGACACTAGCGTGAGGCTGCCTCCGCTAGCAGTGCAGGCTACACAGGCTCTCCAGCATTTTCCTCTGAATGTCACAAACCCCCGTGGCCCACAGCTACAGCAACTGATGCAAGCGCAAAGCTGCTTCCGCTTGCAACACAGGCCCTCACATCTCAGTCTCTTCCTCCTGTTACTTCTAACCTCTTTTCCTTTT